ACACACACACACACACACACACACACTTCTTTTTCTGCCTCTCTTGGCAGAAAGGCACTCTGCTCTCTCCACGTGATTGTATATGGCCACTTAATACCTCTGAGTTTACTTATAGTCTAGTTCCAGCTACATGGAAAGACTGGTTAGTTGCCTCTTGGCTATAATTCCAAGAGGAAAATTCTAACTGATTTAGTGTTATTTCAGTGGCCATCTCTGAGCCAGTTAACTGTGGCCAGTGATATCAAAGTCACATGAAAGAAGCAGGACTTCTGGGGACCACTTCTCCAGGTAAGGGCCAAGGGTAAGGCTCCAAGAGGACCAGGGGTTATTGAGAGTTGGGTGTATTAGCCAAGTGGCATCTACAACATATTACACTCTTCCAGATTCAGAGAATACTATTTCTAAATTTGCAATCAGTTATTTTTTTTATATTCTAAGATCATATTTTTCTCCCTTACACTTTACTAATATCTCTTATTTTGGAAATGAAATACACAGCTATTTTCACAATCAGATAACTATAATTTCTTTAATATATCTCTAAGAAAACAACAAAAGCTAGCATACAAAATGTCTTGTCCTTTTGAGAAATTACCTATTATTAGAATTTACCTATTGAATTTTACATTCTGAATTTGTGTGCATTATACAAGCTGTGCATTTTAAACAAGTTTCCTAATTTTGGATAAAACTTTGAAATCGCAATACCAAAATATCTATTCCATTTAATCCCTTCATTGAAAGACTTCGTCTATCACCTGGTAATCTGTATATGCAACAAATGTGTAGATGATGATTAAGAAATTCTTAATAAATCTAACCACATTTTTTCTTGGTTTGCCTGGATATTTTGTGTGTCATGCAGAAACAGCCAAAGATAACCCATTACAATATAAGCAAACTAAAGGAAAGTTAACCTTTAGTCACCAAAATTAGGCTAAGCCTGTCTCCTCATGTGCATCCTCCTGCAGTGAGGAAAGGCAGGCTTTGCCCTCTTTTGCTCCATGGTCCTCACTGGATCTCTCTGGCCTCTTATGTAAGCCATCTTTCCTCCACCTGGTCTATGTCTCTTTCTTTTTACCCTGAACAATGTTTGCAGAATAATCCCCCTAAGATACCTTTTTTATTTATACCATTCTGCAATGGAGCTGCCTAAAATAGGTTCCTTCCAATCTTTAAAAATGTTTTTCTCAGGATGGCTGAGTGGCTCAGTTGGTTAAGAGTGAGCTCTGAGCAACAGCAGCCCGAGTCCCCGCCCAAGCTGAGCTGCTGCTGAGCTGCCAACAGGTGGCAGGGTGGCTCAGCTAAAAAAAAAAGTTTTTCACTCCCATCCTTGTTTATTGTATACAGCTTTATTTTCTGATCTTCCCTGACTCACTGTCATCTTTAGTCCCTGCAATCCTCTCAGTGGTGTTGCACATGCCTTGCGCAAGGGTCACTTCTCCTCTTTGTATTTTTGTTTATTATCCTCTCCCACCACGGGATGCTCTAAAAAAAGTAATCATTTTCAATGTTTCATGGTCTATTTTGATTAGTTATTTCTATTCAAAATGCTGTTTATAATTCTTCAACACTAATTCAATGAACCACAAATAGCTGTGTAATACTGAGCACAGGTGCTTTAAGAGGTGGCGAATTTCAAACCAATAAAACAATTAAAAATTATATATTTTTGGAAACATGATCAGACCAATATTTTACTTTTTAATGTGGTCAAAGAAATATATATATATATATATATATATATATATATATATATATATATATATATATATATATATATAACTTAAACCCACTAAATTATTTTTCAATTCTAAGTAGCAGTTTTGTGGTTTTGTGTTTTTTTTCTTTTTCTTTTTTTCCTGGAAGAAAATATTCCTAACATAGTTATTTTACTGGCATCGCTTTGTCTTCTTTTTTTGCCTTTCCAAGAATAGATTTGAGGCAGCAAATGTCACTCTATGTAAAATGTGAAGGGTAATAACTTTTTCAAGAGGCTGCATAAAATTTAAAAAAATGAATAATAACTACATCATAGCATGCATATGAATATATTCATATAGGCTACACCAGACACTGCAGCTTTTCAGATGGAGACACCAAATGTGAGACCAATATTTTATACAAGCTTTTTTTAATATTGCATTGGAAAAGAATTTTGTGTTCAAGAAATAATAATTTCATTTTAATAATAAAAATAGTCAATACAGAACACTGGCATGTCATCAACTCATTCCAAATATATGCCAATGAGAAGTTTCTGAGTCAAGAGGCAAGGTTCTGTGGTCTATAGATACAAAATGGTGACAAAGCACTACGTAGAGTAGTGTCTAAACTTCTTAACAACGTCTTGCTTTGTGATCAGTAAACTAATGTGAAAGGGTATAGCAATTACACAGCAGAGTAAATTCCAATTAATACAGCTCTCAGCAATTCATTTAAGCACTTTGAGGAACAATTTCCTATCTGTTAAAAGGAGATAACAATATCTACTTTATAAGGGAATGTGAAGGTGAAACAAGAAAATATGTATAAAGCACCTAGCAAAGCCTATAGTAAATGTATAATAAATGCTAGCTTGTTTCTACCTTAAAATACCTTTCTTTTTCCTTTGAGAAGCAATTTCAAATCATATCACTTTAATGCTGCATAGAAATCTATCTCACAATACACTTCCTTCAAAAATAAACCAACCATGGGTGGCCAGTTAGCTCAGTTGGTTAGAGCACAGTGCTCTTAACACCAAGATTGCCAGTTCGATCCCCACATGGGCCACTGAGATGCGCCCCCCCCCACAACTGTATTGAAACTACTTGACTTGGAGTTGATGGGTCCTGGAAAAACACACTGTTCCCCAACAATCAATCAATCAATAAATAAATAAAATAAGCAAACTGACACTAATCACATTGTTCTAATTCTACTTATATTGTTACTAAGATCACCCCATTCCTTATCACCCCCACCATGATCACCAGGATTGAGTTTTGATACTATTAAAAATGGTCCACTGAGGTCAGTGCTATTAGATCTGTCTCCTGATGGGCACACTTATCAGGATCCATCTTATTAAGATTCTAGAGCAAAAAAACCATAGATTCTTAAACACTGGAACTATGACCTGCAGACAAGTAGCATTAGCATCACTGTCACCATGGACTTGTTATTAAGGTGGACTCTTAAGCCTCACCTCAGATTTACTGTGTAAGAATGTGCACTTGAACAAGATTCTCATACATTCAAGTGTAAATTAGAAGATAAATAAATATTGGGTTGTCAAAAGTCATGACATATTTTTTCTATTTTTCCTTGCAAAAAATGCATCATGACTTTTTCGACAACCCAATATAATGCATTTAGAAGGAACTAATTTTTGCGAAGTTTTTGAATAGAGTTTGACACTATGGGGGAAAAAAAGAACTGAGAAAATAAAAGGAAAACACAGTCTTACCTTTGTTTCTGACCTATTTCTAGAAGCTTCTGAACATCAGTTTTGGCAGATTTCTCATCCTTTGTCAAAGACTAATAAGAAAAAAGTGAAAAGGCAGTCTTATTCAAGTGATAAATTGAGGCTCACTTTGCTTTTGTCTCCATGGCATAAGGTGTGACTACACTTACGTCTTGGAACAAGAACATGCAAATGAGGCCATGATGGTCTCCGTGGTTCTAAGGATATGCACAGGAAGTTACGGCACCAAGTAGGGCATGTGCCACACAGTAGGTGAGAAGGAATGAGCTGAGTCTGGATTGTCAGAGGCGCCCCCCCCCCATCTTACAATGACTATAATATTATCTTAATTTTGTGGAAAGGTTAAGAGGATTTAATAAGATAAAACATGAAAACCACCTGGCACAAAATAAACAAAAGGCATCTTAAAAATTGCAAGTGCATTTAGCGGTAGGATTGTTACCCTTCCAAAAACTGTAACTCCATGAAATTATACAGTTTTCTCAAGCAATTTTCTAGGCTGTAATTAGATGCCTTAACTTAGGCTACTGGTACAGAGAAACTCAGTGTCCTGGGAATACTGTAAACACTGACCACTCATAGGCATTTCACCATATGCTTGAAATAGTCTCAAAGCACCAGGTGTTCCATGCCCCTGAGAAGGTGCTTTGCATATTCTTTGCTGTCTCATATAACTGGTGATTTTCTACTTAATGATAAGGTGCAGCTCTGGTATCAGATTTCCATGGAAATCAATTTAGGCTCCTTTTCATCTTAGTTGGTGCTTCTCTAATGCTCTGCAAATACTTCCATCACAGCACTTTTATCCCTGCGCTGTTATCCTGCTACCTATCTCTGAATCCTATTGGAATGTGGGTAATTTTTTTTTGCTCTTATTTTAATGTTCTCAAGATGTAATATAACTTCTGGAATAAGAGCTTGGGCATTAGGTTCAAATAGCAGCTCTGCTGCCTAACTGGGCTTTTGATAGTTTCCTAACTTTTCTCTAACTCTGTTTTCTAACCTACAAGATGAAACTAATAATACCCACAGAACAGTCACCATGTGAAAATTAAACAAGAATTGTAGAAAGAGCACCTAACACCAGATGTTGACCATGTTCTATAAGCTGTAGCTATTACTGATACCATCATCATCATCATCCTCATGGGAACAGAAAGCTAAGGACAGTGGTGACCCCATATGGTTCAGAAACATGGTTCAGTGTAATAACTAATAGAAAGGCTCTGGAGCCAGAGTACTTGTTTTTAATATCTGGCTTCCCTTGACATTCAAAAATAACTTATCTTCTCAATGCATGATCCCTCATGTGTAACAAGAAAAATCACATTAATAGTACCTACCTCATAAATCTATTATGAAAATTAAATTCTAACAGCCAAAGCTCTTAGTGCACAGTATGGACTCAATAAATACAATGTTTAAACCAAATATTAAAATATATTATCAGACATTTCAGAAAAATTTTCTAATCATAGAAAGATCTTATCTTGGTTTTTTAGATTTCACTGAGTGTTAATAAATTTTTACAGATGACACTCTCCTTTCTAAAGCATTTTAGAACCCATTTTAGTAATGAGATTTATTAAAGAACTTCAGAACTGTCCTTTGTGAAATTTAAAATTCTTTTCTAGAGATCATTCCTATGTTCATTTAACTCTTGGTCATATTACTTTCATCATTTCATAATATAAAAAACACAGAGGTCAAACTGATCTTAGAAGCTCTGAGAAACTGATAGCTTTGCCAAGCACATGATTTGATCATTCCTGAATTTGCAAACCACAGGCTCCCAGATGGCATTTCAAATGAGGTTTTCTTTCAAAGCTCATATAATAATAAATAATCACTTCAATGGTCCAGCCTAGAAAAATATTCAAAACTTAAAAAAAAAAAAAGAGTGCAGAGTCTTTACATCTTAATCCATGGAGACAAACCAGGTGATTCCTCATCTTTTGCTGCTGGGAAATTGGTTTTCATCTCACCTGGAGGTTGACTTTAATTCCATCAAGTTCTCTTGATGTCTTTGTCAGCTGACGGAGGATGGTGCTTCGCTCCTTAAAGACTTCTTTCAGCTGCTTTTCTAGCTCTTCATAGTCCTGTCTAACACAGAAAGAAACGGCATGAGAGCCACACGCTTCCACTTGGGTTCAGCCGCTGTCGTCATAATCAGAATGAAGCCCTTGCATTTCAAGCTATACCTAGATTAACTGAAACCTTAACTATGAGGACGTTTGGTTCCTATTCTTTCATGGAAAAGGGAAAAATTGAAAAAGCAAACCATTTTACAATAAAGGTTTCATTTTGCATTGAGGACTATCCAGGCTACAGAGAGTTTCCAGAACAATACTGTCCATCTTGTGCACATATAACACAGTTTATCAGGTACGTCGTGGAAAACAGATAGTTTCCTGACATCCCCACAACTCTCTCCAGGATCCTTGAAGTTTTACAGCAAGAGATATGATTTGAACCAATGTATCTCAAAGACATATAGGTTCTGACATGAGAGCAGGGGGAAACTTGAGTATAGAGCCAGAACACAATGTAGAGGCCTTGCTTCATGGCTGGTTTATAGGGAAGGAAACCCACTGAAAAGTCACCCTTTCCAAACATGTCTAAGAATCTCTATCGCTATTAAAGAGATTTTGGAAGAAATCAAATATCTATGAAAATCAGCCAATAAATATAGCAATCACAGTGAAATTCGAACAGGCTGTTAACAATTACCATGAAAGACTTATCTCAGCATCATACATACATATATATCTATATCTATATATATATATAGATATATATCTATATCTATATATATATCATATATATATATATCCACATATATATACACACACACATTTTTTTTTCATTTTCTCATATGATCTTTGCAAGCAGACAGGTATGGTAATTCTCGTTTTGAAAATATAAAAGAATTGCGCTCAGAGGAAGTTACTACCCTAAGATCCTATTCAAGGAATGAATGATCGAGTAGTGTGTGTGCACATGTGTGTTTATGAATGTTGTGGTATGATGTTGTGTGTGTGTGTTGATCTATGTTTTGTGCATGTGTGTAAGGGAAGGATGTAGACTAGGAAACAGATCATTGCCAGTGCAGTTTAGAACTGTAACTGGCAGGGAAGGGTTAAAATGATTACTTGGAGCAAGCATATAGGAGAGTCGCTAATTCAGAGAAAACTTTTTGGAGAAAGTAATATCAAATATATAAGACGCTCTTTGAAAGATTAAGCAGGTGTGTAAACTCTGGGGCTCAGCTCCCAGCAGGGGAACACAGGATGGAGTGAGGCCTAAAAGGAACAACACCGCCATGGATAGTGGATTCATACCACTATATTCTCGATGACGGCTGGTCAAGACACAAGAAGCAAACACCCGCCAACACCCCAACAAGGCATCTTCCTGCACCACAGCCTCGCTGGCAGCCCGGTGAGACACAGGAAGTAAGATCCGCAACGTCCGCGCTTGCTAATGTAGCCACGGCAGTTATATAGCATATGGAATAGGGGCTGATGGCTACATGGTTACAGCTGATGGTCAACTAGTTACATGAGTGCTTACAGGTGCAGGCTACACAACGGAGCCAGCACCTTTCCACGTGAGGCTGAGAGCCTGGAAACTGCTCTCTGGGACTCTGTCCTAACAAGATGTTAGCTATATTAAAGGGGGAAGCATATGCAAATACTAATGAAAGGAGCTTATTGAATTAAAAATAAAGTGCATAAATGTCAGACGGTTTAGAGCCCTAATAGGGTGGTGGGAGGTTTGCTTTTGAGATGATGTGGAAAGCATAAGCAAAATTCTGCAAGGCTCTTAAGTGATGGTTGGGAGTCTGTGCATTCTTTTGAAAAAATAAGGGGAAGTGATTGAAGGGTTTTAAATGGGGAGTGACACTGTTTGATTTATGTTGTGGAACTATTTTCCCGGCTAAAAACTGAGGAGTGAATAGGAGGAGGGAAACGGAGGCTGTTAGGGAAGTTTCCCTGGTGATCCTCCAGGGAAAACACTGAGGCTGCCTAGATTAGATTAGAAGCAGTGGAGACAGGGCAGCTTGGATTGATGTCCACAAACATGCAAAATTGAATCATTAATATATAATTTTTAAAATATTTTGTCTGTGTGTGTGTCATGGGGAAAGTATGGGAGGCCGTTAGTTATTAATGATGCCATGTTTCTGGCTTAGGCAACTGTTAGACATAGCCCTTCACTCAGAAAAACCATAGGATGAATCATTTTTAAATAAAAGTTGTGTTGACAAGTTTAAATTAGAAACTTGTGGGAAAATGGCTCAAACTCTCTCATCTTTAGTTTCTTTATCTGTAAAATGCAATACTAGCATTGACCTCGCCCAGATTGTTATGTGTTAAATGGAGCAAACTATGTAACACTTTGGATCCATAGTAGATAATCCATTTTAAAATATGTAAAATTTATATTCCTGATAAACGTGGTGAATGTTCAGTTGTTTTGCCAAATTACAAAGGAGCTGGGACTACAAATGGCCTCAGTGATAATTAATAAATGTGTGTCATCTACAATAGGTTTCTATTACAATTCTTTGCTTTTTCTCATTTTTAAAATGTAGGTCTCTAGCCCTCTTTACATTATACTTGCTTGAAGAAAATTGGAATGCCCAACTGCTAAGAATCTT